AAGTTCGAATATAAATAATGTCTCAAATCGATCGAATAATCGAAATTTAACTGAATGCTCATGTCAAATATAACATATATCTAACGACAGACTAATGACCTGTCGAAGATTTCGATATAAGTTTTCAGAGATAAATTTTTAGTGCAAAATTATTTTCTGTATAGTGATTTTAAATGAGACCATTTTTTACTTTTGTGACTCAGTTATAAAGAAGGCTTATTTAGTTTTTCAATTATGATGAGTCGGACCAAATTTTTTCTGCTTTTTCTTTAGACTAATTACCGGTTCGCTTTTTTTTCATATTTTTTGCGAAGTAATATTATGCATTTGAGACATTATTTATATTCGAACTTAAATTAAGCAACTCATGGGGATTCTATAAATTATTTGTAAGACACTCAGAAATATAGTCTTACCACCGATTATTACCATTGCTATTCTCTGTAACCAGCGACACTAAACTTTCTCACAAGTTATTTTCAGATTTATTTGATTCTAAAATTATATTTCAATCACTACGCCAATGGAAGAAACATCTGAATCGAATAAATTACAATCATCTGGTGAATCAATAACCTGGAAAGGAAAATTTTTTATAGAAGATTTGACAGATAATGATCAAGCAAAGGATTTACAAGCATATTTAGCGAAATTTGGAACGATAAAAACGTGTAACATTAACAAAGGTAGGAAACTGTAATAATTGATCAATAAAGATTTTCTGCTTTATCTAATAGGTGAATCTCGTTTCTATTTGGTATAACTAACCATCTCACAGAGTCAAGACTAGAGATTGACGGGATTATTAGCTTTTGGTCACGGTTATAATGTTGACCATTCATATCAGTCGCAAAAAGTCTCTTAAGTGTATTAGTACCAATTGATAGAAAGTAGCTGCTGATATCGGGCACTGCTAATATGCAGAAATACATTGACTTATATCGTTGATGTTCTTCTTTACATGGTGAGCAAAATGAAAATAAAATAAATAAATGCATGGTGCTCTAGAAATCATTTACAAAAAAGAAAATAGTGTATCTTCACTATATTATGAACAAATGAGCTTTTTTTTGTGGATGATAGAGAAGCTTTCAATTGTTTATTCATAAGTTAGTAGTTTATTAACACTTTTGAAATCTAGTACTATCTACATCAATACAAAATTCGACCTTTTCTATCAGGCACTTTTATAATTTGCGAACAACAAAACATGCAAAGATGACCAAAAATTTATGGGCAAGTCCTACTCTACTGGTTTTTTTCTGCTGATCATTTTTATGTAAAACTTTTTCTCTTTTCATCAAGACATCACGATAGGCTAGGGTCCAACTACTAGAAAACAGGGTATTGGTTCGGTTCGGAGTCTTTAATGTTTCATAGGATTGTGACTTCAAACTGTCATGTCTTAAAAAAATAGAAAAATTCTTTTAATACAATTATCAGTAAAAAGGATATGATGAAGTATGACTTGTCAATAGACTTTCGAAGACATTTGTATTTGCAGTTAAGTATGCTTATCAGTATACTAGCAAACCTTAACCGTAGATGCTAGTATTTTCAGAGCTTTTCTGTGAGATAAAACTCGAGAGGATTCTGTGGAGTTCTTAAGAAATTAGATATGTTATCGTCAACTCTAGCGTTTACAAAAACTGTTAAAAAATTAAGAATACGTGAATTTTGCATCAGATTACAGAAATCCAAAATCTATAGCATATTTTTGCGCGAATTGTAACTTTTTCTCTTTTAAATGAATAAATATAGCTTCGAGAAATACTATTAATTTTTTTTCTGGTGAATAAAACCTAGAAGATTTTCTTTATCAGCTAGAAACAAACAGTTCGTTTCATCATAAAATAGTTACGATGTACATTTTTCTTTTTTCTAGGTGATGTCTGACACGCTGCCATTTTTTAAATTCGATAATGAAGAAATCGAGTTTTGTTTCTCGCAAATTGCACGGATGAAAACCCAGTTGCATTAACCGAACCTGTAACTCCTGATAGTAAATAATTTGAGCATTTAACACATCAAATATTATAAATCTCATGCAATGTTTTTTGCTTTCGATCCTACTCTACTCAGACCACTCAATGTCAGTACATCGAACCTAAGTACAACAAGATTTTACCGGAAGAGTACTAGTTAGTTTTCAATACAAATTATATGAAGCAGTAGAATGAATGTCTGAAAGATGAGAGGGAAATTTGGACAAAGTTCGATTCTAAAGTTACACACTCATGATAAGTTCTGTGAGCTGCACAAAACTAAAAACAGAATTCATACGGCTACAGTTTAAAATTTGTCATGAAACACGTTGGCTACGGCTATGACATTTTTTGAAAAATCGGTTACGTTCCAGACTGTCACCATGAATGACGGAGATCATGCTGATCTACACTCAAGACGTACTTTTTTTAAAAGTTACTATATCTACACCAATGTTCCTTTTGCAATTCGCAATCTAAGTTGCTTCATAACAGAAAGCTTATTTTTATTCATAGATAAATTGTTAGCACCACGTGGTGTTGCTCAATATCAAGAACCACAATCAGTCGACAATATGATGAAAAAGGAAAACCGTCCGCATATTCTGAACGACCATGCTATTTATATTCATCGAGAATTACGAGTAACACCTAATTGGAAAAAGCTCAGAGCACAAAGAGACATACATACACTATCTTTTGGTGTGAAACCGCTATACATTCTACCAGAAGATGAATTGAGGCGCCACTTTGGTAAGTACGGTACAATCCTTGGAATCGAAAGAGCAGAAAATGAGGTGAAAATCACCTATGACGAGTAAGATTTTGGATACTGTAAATCATACCTTATTTTTAAAATAATCAATTTTAATTTAAGTTATGATCCTGTAGACAAAGCAATCCAAGACAATCCGCATACCTTTAATGATGTTGCATACTCCGTAGAAAAAGATTCAAATTCCGTCCCAGTTAATAATAATACAAATACATTGCAGACTTCAATGCCTGGTGAGTTTACGATTAGCTGAGGTGTACTTCCATTTTTCTGTCTTTAACTATGAGTTGAAGGCTATATGATAACGAACGTTTGTGCACATGCTTACAGCTAAGAGAACTACGGAACAACAGACTGATAAGTTCTTTAGGTGTGACTGATCTAGTGACACGTGCAGATCTTAGGTACTGTGATGAATCCAAAGACAGACAAATGTCCCTATCAAAACGACTCATACAGTGACAGACGAATAACCATGACGAAGATGAGAACAAACGAAATTAAACATAGACCATGTGACAGAAGTGAGAATGAAAAGATAGATAAATAAGACAGATTGTTAAAGATGAACAGATGAAAGCGAAATTAAGACATCCCGATCTGCATAACGTTAATAGAGCAGTCAAAGAATTAATAATAGATGGTAAAAAGTCAACCAAATACTTTGTTTGTCATATACTATGTGCTACATTTTGTGATCGAAGCTCATTCTTATCTAGCAGCTTAGATTCTAGCTGAGTATTCAGCAAAGATATAGCTTAGTTATACTAGGGCAAAGCCTTAAACACAATGACTCTACTAAGAAGGGCGAGAAAGTTGCTTCTCGCTTCAATCTTTTTTTGTTAACAACATTTGCTTGTAAGATGATAAAGTAGATATAAAAACTCATTTTGCGTACCTCTTGTTTGAGTGCTGTGCTGAACTAAGGAATTCTCTCTCATTCAGTAAAACATCCTTTGGTTTTCACAGTATTAATATCTGAAAAATGTTAACGTTACATCTCCATATAACTCCTGCAGAAGAAATACTACATTGTCATGATCACATCTCCTTGTGTTTTTTTATTATGTTTTTGAATCGAAAACTTTGAATCAGTTGAGCAATGCTCCGTATCTAAGAAATCTTGCGCACTGTGTTTGATATTTGCTCAAACTGTTAAAAATAAGTTCTCCAAATTAGTGTTTAATAGTCAGAGATTCACATATCTGTTTTCAAGTCGTGAAAAGTATGTCATAGCTCTTTGAATCCATAATCTTCTTTAACATGAAACGTTACTGAATTCGCCACAAAGTTTCGTTTCAAAGATACTGTTAAAAAAATGAATAATAAGCATGGTGATGTTACATCTCGGTCGCAGGAGTTAGATAGGCAAACTGCACAACAGAATCACTTATAAGCATAAATGTTCATGAACTTCGAAGTTTTTACAATGCTTTGTCTCAAAAGCTGAGTGTTGAAGATTTAATACAAGCCAAAACTTTTATACTATAACTAATTTCAGGAAGTTTGAATCCGATATTTCGTGTAGTGGTTTTGTTACTTGATTCATATTCTTTATGTTTTTGTTGGTATGCTTAAAATAGTTAATGTGCCGATATTTTCGAAAGTATTCGTGATGTATTTTCCTTTTACTCTTACTAAAAATGCCATTTTCATCTTTCGGGAGCTACATGCTGATTTCGGATCCTTTGAGTTAAATGGAAAACCACTGATTCTTTCTGTCAAAAATTCCACGAGTTCAGTGTAACATTAAGCTCTTCTCACCTAATCTACAAATTAGAACAGCGGTATGTTGGCGAAAAACAGACTATGCAAGAAGGAAACGCTATGATTCGCTTAAAGGAAATACGACTTACGTTTTTGACGAGATCAAAATTAGAAAAGTGATACGTCTCTTAGCTCATTATTCACAATCGATTGGCATTGTAATGAGTCTGTCAATAATTTCAAGCTTAAATTTATAGGAGTCTCTTAATTCAACGAAGTCAAAGGTTAAGAGAGACGGAGGCGAAAATTGTTCGGAAATCAGACAACATTATTGATTTAACAACCAATTTTTTTAATAAAAAATGACGTATGAAAATATAGTTGAAAAGTAGAATTTTCGATATTGTTCTGAGGAAATTTTATTTTAAAAGATCAACGATTCAAACAAAGTATTTTTATTTGATTCATATTTCCAACTAGTTGATACCTAGTTTAGAAAAATTGAGTTAATTTACGCGTTACACGACTAATTTCAAAATAGGTCACTTGTACTTATCTAAGGGTAATATTTCATAAAGAAAACCAATTGTGCAGCTAAGTCAATTTAACATAATTTTCAAAATCCATGACTATTTCGTTCATATGTCCCAAGGGTCTTCATCCTCGTTATATAAAAATAATGAAGTTGCTTTAAAGTAATTTTCACTTTTGTATTTTTATAAATTATACTTTCAAGAACAAACTGTAACAGAACATCGAAAAAGTGAATCTGAATTCGTGAATGCAAATAATAATGTATCCAATGTAGATTCACGAAGCTCAACAGGATCACTTGAGGATCCAAAAAAGTTATTAAACTCCGATGGAAGCCAGCGTAGTCAAAGTACAAACTCAATAACCACTCTAGATGATCGATCATGTGGTAATGCCGCTCGATTATTTGGTAATGCTATTAAAGAAGTCAAAGAACAAGGTAAGAAGATTGAATGTATATTTTCTAAAATAAAACGAACTACTAAATTCTAACATTAGCGTGTCGACTCTCAAAGTATTACTTCCTTTCTGATAAATATTCACTAGAAATTCTTGTGAGTATGTTATCAGTTTATTAATTGAACTACTTCTTCATAATGTGTAGCTATTTTACGCAAGATAAACTGATACAAAAGTGCTGTAACTTTAATAATATTTATATTTTCTCTTTTTAAGCAAATTCTGATTTACCAAACGATGTTCCTATGGATTGGTCCTCTAAAAATTTACAATCAGGAGATGCTGGTGGCCAGGGCCAAGTACGCACAATATACTATAAAAACAACGAAGCACAAATAGCGGCAATAAAAATTTATTCAATCGATGCTAAGCCGAAAAAAAATAGCAAAGGACTAGAAGACTATTTGAAAGAACGAAGAATGCGTGCTCATCGCGAATTGGTCGCTTTAAAGGCATTAAAAGGTAAGTGTTTTCAAAAGTTTTTCTTCTCTATAATTTCTCCATAAGTTATATATATATTTATGTTGCACTTGCTTAGGTATGAAAAATGTTAGTCAACTAACATCTTATACGCAGGATAATACAAATATACCGGACAAACAAGAAGATGCAATAGCTGGAAATAAAATTTATTGGACAATTATCAATTATATCGATGGATGCACTTTAGAACAGTTTACGGAAAAGCACGAAAGCATGGGTTTGCTGAACGCTATTAGATTAACTCAAAAACTACTTTTAACTATTAAACAGATTCATGGCATAGGTGTTGTACATCGTGATATTAAACCAGCTAATCTATTAGTTGTTCACGACATGAATACTCTCATTGAAACAGCTGAAATTCATGTTATCGATTTTGGGCTAGCATACATCGAAAATCGTGAAGATGACGTTGACTGGTCCAAATTTGAAGAAAAAGAGAAATTTCGGCAAACACACTTTGGTTGCACCTTAGGTAATGCGTTTTTTCGCGTTCCACAGCTGAATTCAGCGACATGGAAGGATAAAACAAAGAAAGAACAGAATGCACTATTAAATGTTCGCCGTAGTCCTACAATCGATGCTTCAAGTGTTTGTGCAATACTATTTTGGCTCATAAGTAATATTGAACCAGGACTTAAGCATCGTGATGAAGAGCATTTGGCACCCCATCAGCAAAAAGAAGCTGAATATGAAATTATGATTAAAATAAAGCAAGCTGTGAACGAAAAAGGTATGTGTAATCATCGGTAAAAAGTCTTTTTAGTGGAAGCTTTTAGAACTAAATGTAGAATTGTATATTTATTACTAAGTTCCCTAGCATTGGCCAGAGGAAAAAAGGAAAATTCGTTACTCTTATTTGAAATTTGCCTTCCTGAATTTATCGCTATCGTGAGCTCAATTCAGTGAGATAAGCTTTTGTCGACGGCTATATTTCATAAGTCGTAATGCGAGTCATTCTCCCTATGAGTCGATTCAACTCAAAGCACGTATACCTTAAATTGCTTCCTAAGTAAACTAATGCAGTAGCAGTTAACTAAAATTACCAATATTTTTTTTGTTTCAGGTATTGCGAAAGAATTGCGGCCAGGATTAATAAAACAACTAAGAAGTTATATTATGACAACATTTGACAAAGGATTTGAAAATGCGGAATATCAGTGGACGGTTGAGCAATTAGAGTATCGGTTAGAATCAATTCGCCACATTCTCGAGCAGAGCACCATTCCACTTGATCAACAACTCAGTAATGCTACAAGAAGTTTGCTTGCACTTGAGCCAGCTACTGCTCTTTTAAACCAATATTCAATCAAAATATTCCATAAAGTTTCGGTTGCGTTTGAATCTGCTAAGGCAAAATTTATCGCACGCCATTCACCATGTTCATGGTATGATGGCCATTGCTGCTGGTTACAATATCGACAAGATATGACTGAACGTAAAAATTATGATGTATTATCTTATCAACAAAACAAACAACAGTGGATGTTAATAATTATTTGTTCGGTTCATTTTGATGAGAATGGTGATCGAATTACATTATCGATTGGCAGTGATTTTAATGGCGTCTATATTGAATTACCATTGGGTCAATATGCTCCTAGTGAATTAGATAGTTTAAATATTGAAATTGAATTTGAAAGAGAACTAATCAATCTACTACAAGTGATGTGTAAAACAAAGCCTACAACAAATGCAGGATCTGTCAATTCAGCACATTAAAGGCGAAGAAAAAAATTATAATACATACAAAATAAGACAACACTAGAAACTGATAAAATCGCTTGTATTTTAGGCTTTACATGAGTATCTATTGGTATTATCAATCAAGAATACCCATAGAATAAATAGTTTTGAAAACAAAAACAAATGAGCAATTGTGTGAAGAATCTATGAGTACAATAAAATGGGTTTCTTTCCTAAATTTTCAGATTTCTATTTCTCTTCAAATGTAAGGGACGCTTTGATATGAATATCTATCATTTCTTTGCCTTCACCAATGCCTTCATACTGCATGCAGTACTCCACTTACACTCATACTATCTAAAAGTGAAATCGATATTGAACGACTTCATGCAGTCGAATAGCCAAAAAATAATAATAATAAGTTTATGCAAATCTTTGAGGACGATCGAAAGAAAATCTCATCGATTTGTGTTGTCAACAACGTCGAGTAGTGTGGAGCTTGACTTGCTATGAACTTAAAATGGGGTGTGGGTGTGGGTGTTCTTGCGGTCAGCGCTTAGACCAACACCCACGCTGGCCCACACTAGAGACCTGCGGAGTCAAGTTTTTTCATTCCGAAACCCGACTCCGACTCCGAAAAATTTCTTTCTTCCGACTCCGACTCCAACTCCGATTTCGAAATCTTTCTTTTTATGACTCCGATTCCAACTCCAATTCCGAAAATTTTTATTTTTTGAGGGTGTGGGTGGGTGTGGGCGTGGGTGTTGGTGTTGGAATGTTGTCTTCATCCATACCCGCATCCCATATACCCACACCCCACACCCACACACCCACACTCACACCCACACACTCACACCCACGCCCACACACCCGCACCCTAGCCACACTCACACACACCCACACCCCACACCCACCACCCACACCCACACCCTCAAGAATGAAAGCAGTCCCTAGGGAATGTACTGAGTTAAGAGTACCAGAAAAAGTACCCTGTTACCAGTATGTCATAGGAACTTTTGGGTATTAAAGCACTTGTGAGTACTTTTACAGGTACTCTGCTACAAAATGTGTAGTACTTGGATACTTGAAGATACTGATCGGATACTCAATCAGGTACTATTCTACGGTATTTGTAGGTACACTGTTGGCAAAATTTCAGTATGTTCAGGATCAAACCTAACCTTTGACTTTTTTTCATATTTGTTTCTCTGGAAGCAATTTATTACATTTTTTTTGACTTTATTGTATTTAATTTTTTCAATTCCGAAAACTCAGCAGGTCAAATGCTGGTATCTGACCGGACTTGAGTTAGTCGGGTATTCACCAGACCACATCAGAATTGTCCGCTGATCATCTACGATCAAAATTGGCATGCTCTCGACTAAGAAACAATGAAGAAATAATCTAGAAAAAATTGATATGAAAATAGATTAATTTGTTATGTTTTGCTCAGTTGTTTATATGGAGAAGTGAGTGAAAAAGAAAACGGTAAATGAGCAGTCGCTACACAGAACGCAACAAATGTAGGGTACCTTGTAGAGTTTACCTCAGTAAAAATACAGATGCGGCTACTCATACACGTACTTGTTTAGTGAGCGTACTTTTATGAGTACCCCATGCAGTACTTGCATGAGTATCATTACTGAGAATTGTCGAAGTACCCATATTAGATACTCTGCTAAGGCTTTCCCAGTACATTGGAACCCTGAACTCAGTACTTTTTCTAGGGGTGATGGATTAAATTATTTTTATATTCAAAATTAAAAGAAATTTTAAAAACCATCTGTGATCTATTATCTACAAGATATTTTTAACTTTAATATGTGCTTTAGAAGATTTTTTTTCTTTTATAAATAATTCAATTGCAGTCTCAAAACTTATAAACTTGATTTCTTGTGGCAATTTTTTCTATAAAGTACAAAAAAAGAGTTCATAGGACAAGTACCTATTGATAATGTTCGTAAAATATATCGAAACTGTAAAAACAAACCATACAATGAGATATCAAATACCGAATGTGATAAAATCATTGCGACATTTTTATTTTTTATATATCTCAGTAGAGTAATAGAATATAATCTAGAACTTTTTTTTTATATGCGTCATTAAATTCTCTAGAAAGTATGAAGAAAGAGATTCTTTTAAGTTGCACTTAAGACTTTCAAAAAGGTTAAAAATGAAGATAGATGTGACTTTTACTGTTTCCTGTTCTACTGAAATCAGCAAAAACATACTTGCAATATTTTTTTTATAATTGTTTCTCAATACTAAACAAAAGCGTTCATGAGATACTGATAGACTTCACAAATAGTAAAGATAACGCCCAATCTATTACAAATTTAGAAGGCTTAAAATAATGGATTAAAGATTGTAAAACTGATATACAAATCACTTCAAGACTTTAATATCAAAATTTTAACAATCTTTAAGTATGGCGAAATGTAATCCGTTAAATTTTTCTATTGATGGCAGTGTTAATTTCAATACCGATTATCAAAACATACAAGAAAAATATAATTTAAAGCGAGAAGTTCTAAAAAAACAAGATTTGTGTGTGGGAAGCAATCTAGACCTTTTTTAGAAGATCTTATTCAGTTGAAAACTGTAAAAATGTGCTTTTTTTTGAAAAATATGTATGATGTGAATGACACTTCACCATTACTTTTAATCAAGCCTGTCAATCTTTTATGAACGCTTATGTTTATCATTGAGAAATAACTTCAAAAACAAAAATATTGTAAGTATTTTTTTGTTTTGCTGATTTCAGTAGAACAAAAAATAGTAACATTGCATGCATCTTCTTTTTTTCCTCTTTTAAGAGTCTTCAGTACAACTCGGAAGAATCTCTTTTTTTTTAGACTTTGCAGAGAATTCAATGGCACATTTAAAAAAAAATTCAAGGTTATATCTTTTTGTTCTGTTGAGATATATAAAACAAAAAAGTATCAGACTCATTTTGATACATCCGATAGAATTTGTTTCAAAGAAGCAAAATGTTGCAAATATTTGTTAGGATTTAATGAAATTCGAAATAAAAAAGAAAGCATTTATGAAATCGATAGAGTTTTCGAAGAATCTGAGACTAATAATTTTGCTCATGATGTCAATTTGTTTGTTTTTAAATGAAAAATTTCGTTGCAATTAATTTGATTATAAAGAATCAATATATTGATATTTTAAAATTGAACAGTAAAAAAATATAGAATGATTATCAAACATATAAAGGTAAAATGTTATTGCATGAATGTCTACTATGAACATAGAAGAGAATTTGATCATTTCTC